AGGGGTCCAATGTTGCCCCTGCTTTTCCTCCGGCTCCCCACATATCTGAAAAAGGACTTCTTATTGTCCTTGATGCTCAAAGCTAGCTGGAGTTCAGTTGCAGCCTTGGCTTTCCTGGTCTGCTCCCTACAGGACCGGACCAGTGCAGAATAATCCTCCTTGGAGGTGACTCCCATCCCCCATCCTTTGTAGGCCTTTCTTTTTAGCCTCAGGAGGTCTGCTAGGTCCCTGGAGAGCCAGGGGGGCTGCTGTGCCCTCTTGCTGCCTTTCCTCCGAGATGGTATAGACTTAGTTTGTGCATTGAGGATCGCTCCCTTGAGGAGCAACCACTCTTCTTGAACTCCCCACTCCCTGTGGTCACGGTCCCTTAGGGCCTCACTGACAAGCCTCCTGAGCTTGTCAAAGTCAGCTTTCCTGAAGTCAAGGACTTGCATGTTGCTGACCGAGTTGCCAGCTTTTCGGCGGATGGTGAAGGTGATCGGCTCGTGGTTGCTGTCACCCAGCTTCCCATCGATCACTTGAACCCATCAATTCCCATCCCATCGATCGTTTGAACCAGGTTTGGAGTTCTGTTGTTTTGCACATTCCTGAACTGTGGTAACCACAAGAGATTCAAGAGGGGAGTGCAGCATATAGAAAAATTCAAACCCTGAGGAGGGTTTGAATCTTAGCTAGTTTCATACGGGTTAGAGAGGGAGTGGATGGTGTTTGTCACAATAACAGAGCTGGTTCTAGAAAACAGCAGCTTTACCAGCGAGTCTTTGATAAGATTTGTGAAGAAAGAGGTAAAGTTAGGCATGGTAGTCTGAGGCAGGCAGAAGGCAGGGTAGATTTGAACCTTAATATAGACTAAGTAAATTAGACATTTGTTGCATAGCTTATAAACTATAGGTACAAGCTCCTGGAAGGCTGCTTCAGGCTTAATACCAGGAAAAACTCCTTTACAGTCAGGGTGTCCAGACTGTGGAATAAACTCCCTCCAGAGGTGGTGCAGACAGCTACCCTGGTGGTTTCCAAGAGGAGACTGGACAGTCACTCGCTGGGGTCACTTGACCCCAGTTGTCTTCCTGCCTAGAGCAGGGTGGGACTAGACCTGATGATCTGTGAGGTCCCTTCCAGCCCCTAACAATCTATGAATCTAAAGCGCAAGTCTACACTCGCTGCTGAAAGATTTGTGTAAAACAGCTAACCATTTGTGAGATTTTTCATTCACTGCCTCGACTAGGGATTTTGGGGATCAAATCTTATTTTACCTTTGGTTGTCTATGTGCTACTTATGTATTGTTCCACCTGTTTTTTCTCCAGCTAAAATTTTGGGGACTTATATGCCTTCCCAAGTGACATGGGATCATCCCTGAGCACAAGTGGCAATAGTAAATCCCGTCCAAATATACTTTGTACAGATCTAGTTGTACAGTGAAAATAGACCCATATTTGCTTGAATCTAAGACAAGGTTTTTTTTCTCCATTCAGCATGGGGGGGAGGGAGAGACCCCTTGTCTTAGATTTGAGTATAGGCTAGGCAAACAGCTGTTGTAGCTCCAGATGGGACCGGTAAGGCTTATGCAACAGGTGGAGGGTACGTGGAGCATGGAGGGAAGTAGCATGCAGTGCAGGGGGGAGCATGGGGGAAGGGAGCAAAGGGTGCAATGTGGTGGCAGGGATTGTGTGGGAAGGGACACGCAGTGACAGGAGCATGGGGAAACAGTTCAGGGAAAGGGACACATGGAACATGGGGAAGAGGGCATTTATTGCAGGGAGCGGTGCAGGGGAAAGGGCATGTGGTGCAGGGCAGGCATAGGTGAAGGGATCCACTAGAGTGAGGTAAGTGTGGACAGAGCGAAGTGTGGAGCATAGGGGAAGGGGAGCATGGAGCAAAGGGAGTACAGGGAAAGGGTGCAGGGACGGGGCACGTTGTGTAGGAGGAAGACTGGGGAAAGGGACACACAGAGCAGGGAAGAGTGCATGGAAGGGGCACACAAAGCAGTGCAGGGAGCTGCTGTAGCTCTGGCCCCAACCCCAGCTGCAGTCTGGAGTGGGAGCCACCACTACTGCCTCCATACCCCTGGCGGAAACAGAGTTAAGCAGCTGCAAAGGCACCAGAGGGGGACAGTGGCAAAGGAGACTGGGGACAGGCAACAAGGGAGCAGGCATGGGGGAGGGGGAGGGGGCAAATGGCAGGGGGGCAAAGGATGTGGGGCAAGATGACTGTCCCCCAGCTGCTACTTTGCTTGCATCAGTGTGGGGAGCAGGGAAATGAATTTAAGACAACCCTCTAATAACTAGATTTTAGCCATGGAAAATTAACCACTTATACTTTTACCATGCCTAGGATCTAATAATTGGGGGGGGGGGGTTGTCTAAAATTCAGGATTGTCTTGGATTTGGGTAAATACGGTACCTACATTTCATGTGACATTCTGTGATACAGTACTTTATGCTTTAATATTTAGATGAGTATGTAGTACGTAGCTGCCTAAAGTTGAGCAGAGTCCGTTGGTTAAATTGAGGCTTTAGATTCCAGAGGTTGGTTAAGTTGAGGCTTTAGATTCCAGAGAGGAGTAGTTAGAAGAGGCTGGCATTCTCTTATGCTGAGGGTCTAGAAAAGCTCAGTAGAGTTCGGGTTGTGATTTGTTAATGAACTGTTTAATGGATTTAGGAAGGGGGTTCCTAGTCGCGTGCCTCTCCCTATTGTTTTTCTTTTTGTCCCTGCCTTGGAGTCCCCTTCAGAGGTTTAATAGGCAGGTGATAGCTAGGGCAACAATCCCTGATCTGGTCAGACGCTGATGAGAAGAATAAATAGTCCTTCTGCATGGGTAGAGCAGATTAAGGAAGAGCACTTTAATGAGATGCAGCTGAAGCCACTGAGACAGCCAGCAGCTAGTCCCATGCAGGCTGCTGTGGACTTATCTGCCTGCCTCCTGACATGTCGGCAATATTTACTAGTAAGCATTAGCAGCTTAGAAAGCTGAGGTGTTTTGACTTGTGCCTTAGTTGAGGAGGGCAAACTTTTTGTTTGCCATACATGCCACAAATCGGGGTTGCACTGTCCCCAAATGCCACACTGATCCTCTTCCTCCACCTGATTGGCTGCTCTGCTTTCTGTTCCTTACTCGGTGCTCTGTGCTGTCTCCTGCTCTTTCTGCCCTAACTGTTGCTGTGCTGTCTTGCCCCCTCCCTGATCTGCCATGTGCCACATACTGAGACTACTTGTGGCACTTATGCAAAAGGTTGGCCACACCTAGCCTAGGCAGTGAGAAAGAACTGGGGCATGTTGGGGGCAGCACTGTCCTTAAAACCATCAGTTACAAACATGAGGACTTGAAGGATAGATCTTCTGCCTCAAGGGCACTGGATGTGCATCCACCATCAGTGGAATGTCTCTATGAACTCTTGCATGAAGAACAGGTTTTCCCATTACATTCAACACATTGATGTTGTTTGCTTCATCTTGTTTTTATAGCAAACTTGCATATTACTATAACTTACTCGAGTGAATTTTTTGAAATACTTGTCTGTTGGTGTGGTACGTATAATAGTGAGCTTTTGCTTGTGTCTTAGAAAATCAGCTGGAGTTGTCATCAGCAATCCTTTCTTTTGAGGACATTTTCAGGCTATTTGATCTAGGAGTTAAAGCACAAATCTGGCAGTCAGGGGACAGATTCTGTTTCTAACACTGCCACTGACTTGAGGAAGTCAACCCTCAGCCTCTGTTTCTTTCTCTATAAAATAGGAAAAGACTGAAAGCCAGGTCACTTTAGTTTGAGTTTCCAATTATGAATTCGGGAACTCACGCTCAAGCTTATAAATTTGGCCTAAAACTAAATAGGATCTGCAGAACTTGTTTTTCAAGGTAGTGATTCCATTGAAAGAGACTTCTGCATATTCTTAGTTGGCATCTTTTAAGTGTTATGTAGAGCACTCTGTACATTTGTGTTGCTAAATGAAAAATATGTATACTCATTTTTATAAACGGTATGTGTAGGAGGGAACTTTTTAGACAGTATTTATTAAAACAGTTTTGGTTTTCCTTTGTACTGGACTGAAAATGAAGCTAACACAAGTATTGAAATTATTTCCCACCCCTCACCCAAATCTGCTGTTATGCTATAAACAAATGCTCATGTAGGCAACACACAGAGGCTAGAGGTACTAAGACAATAATGCAAGTACACTTTATTTATACAATTGAGAGTAGCCTTAGTGCCAAATAGATTTACTGAGTAGACATTCCGTAAGACAAAAAATGTTAAAAGGACAGTAAGCATACACCAGTATGTGTTTTTGACAGCATAGTCCTCCTTAATAGGCTGCCTCTAAAATTTGGACTTGTTCATCCCATTGTTTTTTAGCATTCCAGTACATTTCTTATCACTTTACAGACCAAATGTGTGTCATTCTTTACCTTATTCTTTGGAAAATAATTTCTCAAGATAAACATAATATATTGTATTCACAGCCAACACAATCAGATAACCTGAGCATAAATGACTTATGCATGACATTTTATCTTTGCACCCTGGTTCACAATCCATTATTACAAACTTTTACTTGGTTATAAGATAAAAATGGAGAGTTAATTAGTAGATTACTAGATGTTGTGCCTGTAGAAGAGACATTATAGCAAGGGAGCTTGAAGCCAATACTAGCATTCCAGGTGACTGGTCCCCATGAATAAAGGGACCATAGTCATTTGCCCTTGTTTACTTTGTACTTCAGAGTTAAATTCTCTATTAGCTAAAAGCAAAATGAGTGACATTCCTCATCCCTGATTCTAAGATTGTTTTCCAATGTAGCTAGACATTTAGGGCTACATTTCACTCTGCTTTTCATGCCTATGTGGCCACATAACTGCCATTTTTGGTACTTAAAATAGAATCACCGTTTATATATCTTCCAGAAGTAAAGATACTTAATAGTGAGGGAGCTTACCCAGGGACCAGGAGACCCAGGTTCAAAGCCCCACTCACCCAGTATTTTTTTGCTTTCTAGCAAAGTGCTGTAACCTCCAGGCCAGCCAGCACTTAAGAACATAAGAAGTGTCATCTGGGTCAGACCAATGATCCATCTAGCCCAGTATCCTGTCTCTGCCAGGAGTATATGCTTTAGAGGGAGAGCACTGAACCAAATATATCTGAAGTGATTTATCTCCTGCTCATGACTCTCTCTGGCACCTACCATTAGTGGTGAGAGCTGCCAAAGAAAACATCTCCCAACAGTTCTGTTTAACACCTATTGATAAATCTATCATCCATGAACTTTAGTCCATTTTGAACCTGTGGTCTCTGCCACTACCACCTCCTGTGGCTATTAACTCTACAAGTTAATTACACTTTGAATAAAAAAGTACTTTCTCTTGTTAGTGTTAAACCTGTCACCTCCCACAAATTTCAGTGCCTGTCCTATAGTTCTAGTATTCTGAGACTGGATGATTAACATTTCCCTGTTCACTTTATCCAGCCTTCTCCTTTCTAAACTGAAGAGTCCTAGCCTTTTTAGTCTCTCCTGATATGGCAACTGCCCTATACCTGATAATTTTGATTGTTCTTCTCTGTACCTTTTCCAAGCTGGTGATACTTCTTTTCCTAAATGCAAAGTTTTAGAAACGTATTACCCAAATGCCATGGCCCTAGTTTTTGCTGAATAGTTTTCTGGAACCAGGACTGACAGATCTTGAAACTGATGTTGCTCCAGTGGTTTGCTAAAAGGGGAAGAGGTTGAGGCCAAATGCCAAACAACCTAACAGCAACTTTAACGGAATACATGCTCTGGCAACATTTATCTGGTCATCGGCTTTACCAGCTGCATCTCCACCTTCTTGTCTGTTTCTACAGCTCATTTGGGTGTCAAGATGACTTTTTCCACTAGTTCCATGGCTACAGAGAAGCCCCTTTGACTTGATCCTTTTGCTTCTCATTCATGAGAACTTCCCCCAATGCCTGAGCCACCTGTCCTTCACTGTTGGAGTCTTTCATGAGTTCAGATATTTTTTGTGATTTTTCTTCACTTGTTTATTTAACAGACCTTTAGTGGCAACATCATGAAGTGTCTTGACCCTCACAATGTGGACTCTGTAAAATGAGAAAAATAAGTTATTGTTCTTTCCTTGGCAGCAAAGAATGATCATTCACTCTGCAGTTCTGAGAGACCATCCCTAGAACCTTTTCTAAGTCTTGAGAAACTCTGGAGAAAGCAAGTCCTTCACTATGTTCCCCATGTGATTTGGAACCATAATGACCCCTGCCTGAGGGTACTAATTCACAGCATTTTCAGGGTGTTGAATGGACAAAGGCTAATGAGACTATAGATTGACTTTGCACTTTTGCAGGTAGTCCCAGCATCAGGGTACAGCACTGATCTCTCTCTCTCTCTCAACAGTAAGGAAACTACCTATTTAAAGGCTAAAGAGTACCAAGCAAAATATGCATTGCTATCATTCAGCATTATGGTACCTCCTCATGTTTTGCCTGACAAATAGCAAAGACAACTATTTGAGAACAGGGGAGACCACCCCAATTTTGCAGTGTTAGAGGCATACTATATCCCCTGCAGACCTGCTCAGCGCTCTTTATTCTAATCTGGAATGAGTTTTAGGCATAATGTGAGTTTATACCATTGGGGCTGTATAATGTATGTTGTACCTGGAGCTTGCTTATTGCCTTTTTTTTTTTTAAACTGAGAAATACCTTGCTAAAATTTGTAATAACCAAACATTGCACTGATGAACTGAATTTGTTTGATCTGAACACACCAGATACTTCATAACTTTCTGCTCCTAACACATTGCTATGATAAGGTATTCTTTTTTGAATTTGGCAGTTTGTCAATAAATGGCATAGTGGGTAGGTGGCCATGCACTGAGATGAGAGTAGCAGTCCACAGAAGAAGGGGAAGGTTATAGCTGATATGCTGGCTACTGCAGTTCAATTGCTGCAGTCATTCTTTGAAACACAAAGGGAGCTTGTAACCAAGAAAGGGTACTAGCTACATCTGCCAAAGATGGTGGTATCCAGCTCCAGAAATAAACACATATACCAGGTGTTCCTCACCAGGCAACCTTAGTGAAAGTTACCAGTCTTCTTGGCTGCCGTGCCATTGGAAGGAGACTGGCTAGCAATGTCTGGTGTGCAGATCTATTGTTACAGGCTGCTGTGCATTAAAGGGCTTCTGTTCTGGATATTACGCATCTTGCAGTCCCTGGCATTTTTTTGTTCTTTGATTGTAGCTGAAAAGATGTGCAAGTTGATGCTGGTATTCTATGCCAAAATTCTGTCCAATTTGTCAAAACAGATGCATGGCTTGATTGCTGCCGGTGGTCTGGCTTGTTTTCTTAGCTTCTAAGCCATCTTCACATCCTTTGCTTTTAGGTAGCTGTACCTTGTGTCTTAGTTACAACTCCACTTGGCCAGCCTGTTAGGGATTTCCTCAAAATATACAGCTGTCTGGACCCTAGGACTGCCCAAACACTTGCCTCTCTCCAGAGGTAAGGAGATTCAGGACCTCAACACTGTTCAAGCTGAAAGTACAGAGATGCAATACCAAAAACCCACCTGGGTTTATAAACTCCTGAAGCACATAAGCACAAGTAGATTGTTGAATCTGATTGTGCCAGTACTTAAACAGAAAATTAACATTCTGTTATGGTGTTCCCTGAGCAAGAGAAGGCACAACAGGTGAATCAATTGATCCAAGCAAGATGTAAATCATAATGGGAAGAAAGCTGCAGGACCGCCAGTAGTAGATTGCAGCACAGCTCTAATCATGTGAAGGTAACAAGGTAACTTGCTAAGTCAGATTAATTTCCTGCTGATTTCAACAGAAGTAAAACTACCAGTTACTGTGTTATAGGCAGTTATGCCATGTGAATGCAAATCTTTTGTTTGATGTAATTCAGATTGAATATGGAACAGACCTCCTGCATAGACAGTTCATTAGCCTTTTGAAAGCATTACTTCCACTACTTTAGGTTTCCCAGTGTCTATTTGATACTCACTCCAATAACATTTGGCCCATCACACTTGCTGTTCTTCCTTAGCCCTTTGAAGCTTCCAATGATTCTTTTACAGCTCCATTTTAATGAAGCCCTAATTAATCTTTTCTTTTCATGTCTTGGTATCAAATTGTTTTCTGTACAAGTTTGGAAACAACTGAAAAGTCTTCTTCCTCCTTTTCTCACTATACTAAAAAATGGCTGGAACAGCCACACTACACACATGAGATATTCATGCTAGGCTATTTTGGATTTCTGATCCAAGAAAGTTAGGAACATTGAAAAAAGTGAATGCGGTACCTGTCATGCAACATGCCTTTAGAATTCCTTCTGATACTTACCAGACTTTCAGAGAATTGTTTTTTCAGGAATAAAATGGAATTTTATAACAATAAGATGCAAAGTTCTAATAAGAATGTATTTTTGGGGGAAGATTAGAGGACTGTGTATGTTGAAAGCTGAGCTTCTAACAGGATACTAGTTTAAAATATTAAATTTACAAGAAGGCAGTCACTTTTTAATTTTGCTTAGATTTTTAAGGAAAATGCTGTTTGCCAATACAACTTGATCTACGCTAATGTTTCTCTAGTATATCTATGCCAACAAAATGGTATAGACAAGGTGTAAGAATTCTCCCCATTGACATTAATTTCAATACAGGGAACAATAGATTAGAGGAGAATATCACTTTTACAAGAACTAGTTATGCCTTTATATAGTATCTACACATGTCAGTTCCTGATCAGATAAGACCTGAGAGTTTTCACCTACATTTAAGTAACTATTGATAAAATAATGGAGGAAAAATAAATATGGCATCAAGCTGCATAGTGCAAGACTATCCAGGTGGATTTTATCCATATACCTTTACTTAACAAGTTTTTATGTCCCAAAGCACAGGCACACACCCAGGGGGCTTTCAATTCATGACTCCTCCTGCTTTTAGCTAATATAATATTAACAAAAATTAGCCCAAAACTCTTGTTTAAAAAAAAGCTATGTGGATTCAATAGGAAAAAGTAAAAGAAACTAGAGAGAAACTAATATGCATGAACAAACCTTTAAAAAAAATGCACGTTACAGGTTTTTTATTTATGCTTAAATCCTTTCAAAACAAATACCTGTTAAAGGAATAAGCCCATTAAATGAACTAAAATCATATGTACCAAGTATTGATACAATAGTTACACCTGTTAAATGATAATCACACTGACTTTTGCGAGAAAAGTCCTTTCTAGACACAAGGGAAACATTCAAGTGTTTAGTTGAAAACTGCTATGTAGTATCTCCAACAGGCCTTTGTCACGTAATAGCATTACAGCTCAAGTTCTACAGACCAACAACAAAAGGCCTTAGCCACTTTTAAATTTTATATCACCAATGAGCAAATGGGTAGAGGTCAATTTAATGTTTTCTTTAATGAAACAACCCATTTTAAAATCTCTTTAAACTAGCAAAACAAGTTTATTTAAAAATTAAATGCTCTGCCAAAAACTAGACATTAATTTGTAATGGCATGTTTCATGGGAAATGATATCTGACACAAACCAGTGTGTTTTAGAAATAAAACCTAGGATAATCAAATTTAAAGAAGCGTATTAGGTATCACAAAAGAATTTACAGGACAGCTTCAAATTCCTGTTTGGTTAATTGAAACATAATAATGTTGTGTGAACAGACATAGAAAATATAGGAGCGCTGAACCTGCACTTTTAGCCATGGTAGTAGTCGTCAAAACTTCCAACCACAACCAGAATGTGGCATTTTTCAGTGCCACACAGCATTTAATTCCGCCTAAACCCAAGGCAACAGTTGATTAAAAGAAAACATAACAGTCAAATGATAAAGCTACATAGTTTAGTACATTAAAACAAAAACAAGGACAGCGATACTTGTATAAGGTTCCAAAAATATACAACTGGGGGAATTAAAAAAAAAAAAAAAAAAAAAAAAATCACTGTACAAAACAACTCTGAGGTTGTTAAAGTGACCAATCAAAAGACTGAACAGTGCAAGACATGCTTTTCCAGTTACAAGCTCAAAACAGAAGTGCAAAAGAAATTAAAGCTTTGTCTGAAGTGATTTACTTTCAGAATAAGGAAAGTTAAGAGTATAGTTATTAATATTACAGAGAGCACTTTTCCACACATGAAATTCTTTAAGATTTCTTGTAATACAGTGTTTCGTTCAGTGTTCCACTAAGCCTGCTTATTGTGGGGACAGATCATTTTGTCCAATACTCATCAGCTTTTGGTCTATGAGCCAAAGGAACGATGGACAGAAACAGCCTCTGAATTTTCAACCTCTAGCTGACTGTACCTGCAGTTTACAAGCAGTGAAAGCAGCAAATAGCCTGGCTTAAATACTTCCTTTTCTGCAACTGGTCTCACAAGAACCCTTTCACTGTAAGAAAGCAGCTGTACTGAAAGCAGATGCAAAGTTATGGCTGAAGAATTAAAATTGCTCTCTAACTCTGGGAAAGTACAGAGACTTAATTTAAGAGCAACTCCAGGCAAGTGCTTTTAGCGAGCTGATTAAGCAATGCATGCATCTATTCATGCAAATGTAGAACATGGCTCCAGATACTTTGAACTAGGGGTGTGCACATGTAGACTGGATAGAAGTCCCTTGCTCATAGTTTACAAAAATATATAGCCAATACTGTAGCATAAGAAGTTATTTTACTTATTACATAGATCCCCAAAGTATTAACTACTTTTCAGACATTCCAGACAAGGTCACTTGTAACAAAACAGTCAACTTGTTTTAAAACAAGATTTAAAAAGTGGGTATTTTTCAAGTGAAAAGGACATCTGTTTGTAAGTTTAACTTTCTAATCAGTCGAGACTGGATTTATTTAAGATATTTTTATGTGAATATATGCATAAACACAAATAAGTTCACTTTAACACATCCGCACAGAAGGAAAAAAAAAAGGTTAACTCCTCAAAACATGACAGAGCAGGTCTGGTTAGTACGTATCTATTGCAAATTATAAAGATCCTGTGCGTTAGGCCCACTCAGACAGAAGCGGAGGGGAGAAGGGGAAATAAATGTCTCAAGAGTGAGAAGTTTACTTTTCAAGTCTAAGTGGAATTTTGGAGAGCCAGCAGCCTAAATGACACCATGCTGCTAATCACAGTATCCAGGCAAGCCAGACTGCTTGGGTTACTAGAAAAGTGTATTCTTCCGGAGGCGTCATTTATTCCAAAATTATTTTCTGTTTCGAAGGCGTTTAGATTTCCTAGGAGAGTCTACGGATTCCACTGCCTTCCTCCGTTTTCTAGGAGACTCCTCATTTGAGCCAGAACCTGAGGAATTTCCTACTGCACTTTCCATTACTTCTCGGAGTTTGCGTTCAAGCTCAGCCAAGCGGGCGTTCTGTTCACCTATGATTTGGGTTTGCTCTAGCAGTTTCTGGTCTTGGTCCTGAAGCTGTTTCTGCTGTTCTTGCACTTTGGTGCGAAGCTCTGAAATTTCCCGCCTTAGCATAGTCACACCTGCACCATTTGTTTTGACTTGCTGCTGGAGTTTGGTGACTTCCTGCCTTGAAGGGTTTTGCTTGGAGAACAGCTGCATTGTTGTCAATGCAGCAGACGGACCTGGAACTTGAGAGAGAGAGAAGGGGGCGGGGACAGGAAGTGATTTTATTATTAAGACAAGATTTAGGAGGCAGGGGGAAAAGCCCCAAGTGTACCAAATCATGCCCAAATTCACATTTTATTCCACCCCACTGCCAAATCCAGAATCTAAATCATCAGTAGTTTGAAAAATACTCCAAATATGCAAGTGTTACTTACAACTATTTGGTAATAGTCAAGAGAATTGCTCAGAGAATGAGTCAGAGTAAAATTAGGCCCACTGTTTTAGGTTTTTTAGGAATTCAAGGCATAAATTGTCTTCCACTTCTGAATGTAAAAGCATTATATCGTGTCATCAAGACTCAAGCAATAAACAAACCACCATGTTAAAAGATTTTAAGCAACGGAGTTTAAGCAACGGTTAAGAAAAAAGCCTCATGAATATTCAATAGTTGCTGCTTTGCACGTGCAATGCGTTATTCCAGCAGATCCCACAAACAATCCTGCTCTCAGTGAGATTGCACAAATTATCTTCAGTTAGATTAATGGCTCTGCCACTTGACTTTTCACTTTATATACAGGATCTACTCAAATTGCAATTTTGTGATTTTTGCAGAAACCATGAAAAACGGCAGTTTCCACGAATGCCACAAAAAAAAAAAATCAGTTTCCACAATTTTGCGTGGAATCACCGGGAAAAAAAAATTGCTAAAAATAAAATGCTGGCTCCCCAGTGGGAACGTGGCTCAGCCTCACAGCCTGCAGGGAGCAGGAGGCAGCATGAAGGGGAGCAACCAAGATGGTGTCCACCCCCTCCTCCCTCTGCCACTGATTGGCAGCAAGAGCTCCCTTTCATGTGGCCCCATCCCTTTTGGCTAATCAGCGGTGGAGGTGGGGCTGCCAGGGCCCTTTGGGCAGAGGTGTGGAGGGGGGTGCAGGGGGAAGGGTGGGCACCATGATAAAACCGTGAAAACGGTGGCCAGCACTGCAATCAGTCTGTGAAGTTGCCCATCTGCCACCCTGATCTGGGTGGGTCCCTACTTATATACTATAGTGGCATTTCACCCTTTGGAGAGGTTATGCAAGTCATAAAACAGCTCTTAGCTATATTAATCCATATGGTTCAGGCTATGAATGTTACAGCAGATATAAAGTTAAATTCAGTGTAGAAATGTTCCTATTTCATTATACAAAAAACAATGGAATCATCATTTCCAAGCTGTTTTTAAAGACCACAGCACTAATAGGTGGTGGAAGTGCCATCCTTGGGGGTTTTCAAAACCCAGCTAGACAAAGCCTTGGATAGGATGATCTAGTTGGGGCTGGTCCTGCTTTGAGCAGGAGGTTGGACTAGATGACCTCCTGAGGTTCCTTCCAACTCTAACTTTCTATGATTCTATAATACAGGAGCAGAATGGCTGAAGACTGCAGGGTATGGAGTGAACAAAGATGGATGTATTGATTGATACAACTTGTGTGTTATGCTAATCCACTTGTCATGCCCGTCTATGAGCTGTTTTTACTTCTCTTCCCCAAGAGAGAAGGATAAAAGAATCTCATCTAATGGATTCCTATACCCACTTACATTTCTGGTTGAACTAAAGGATACATTTTTACAAAGCCCTCAACTTGATTTACAAAGACTGACTGATGAAAAATCTCTCTCTTAGTACTCTAAGGTCCTGTGACAGAGGGCTGGGATGCATCTTGCGCAAGTTAGGAAGGTGTTCAGCTTTTTGGAATACCGTGGCCAAAGTGGCAAAAGCTGGCTCTCTCAACATGTTGAAAATATAAATTAAGTCATCTGAAGCCTGTGACTAGTTATGCAAAGTAAACAGGTTGAACATTCACTCTTACTATTTTCAAGTGATTTTTTCTACTTTACAGATTACAGGCCTACAAATATTTTATTTCAGATGAGAAAAAATACATCCAAGCTTTCTTAAGTTATTGCAGTACAAAGAAAACTAAAGTTAGTTCATCTGTTTATCCTATTCTTAAAAAGACAAACATCTTGAGTTGCAATCTTGTGTACCAAATTTCAACTAAGTGCAATGATCAAGTTACTGGCACAAAAGCATGTTTAATGAATACAAACTATGCATAATTATAAAATACATTCAAGTGACCTTTCTTTTAGCAGTACAAAGCCTTCTTAAATCTTTAGGCAAATTAGATACCATACTCCACATCCTTAGAAAGCCAAATGCATTTTCATGAGGAGGCTGGACTACAATAGGGTATTCCATGACTGAAGGAAGAGGCAGAAAACGCTTACAAGAAAGTGGGATATTAAGAATTTTCAAAAATAAGCTGCTAAGCAAACAACCTGTGTAAGACTAAATATTGGCTAACAGTTGAAGAAATACCTGGAGCAGCTCCTATGAGACGTCCCGATACATCTGATCCAGGCAGCTTTTTTTTGAGAATGGGAACAATCTTCTCGTCAAAGTATTCCATAGCCATGGAAGAGATGTCCCTTAACTCTTGAAGAACTTCATGGGCTCTTTGAGGAGCTCTTGTAGAGTTTACATATCTTAGCACACGATAGATTTCATCAATCACCTAAAATATTGAAGAACCATTAGATATTCTGTTGAGTTCAGGGAAAAAAGCTTAAAATAGTTATTGAAATTATCTGAAATTCTGATTTACTGCTAGGCTTCTCTCTCATACCCATCACACTAGCATAATGCTGGAGTATGGTACTGAAATGTTATACTTTATAGAAAAAGCAGAATGAGGTCATTGCATGTTAAGAAAAACTTTGATGCATATTTACTAAAATAGTCATCTTTGAACTCATGGCCTGATCTATTCACAGCATAAAATTTATTGGAACATTCTATAATAACTCGCAACATTTTGTTTCATGCACAGCCTGGCAGCATGGACAGCAGTGCCCTGCAGGTAAGTCTGTGGAGGGGAAGGGGCATGGGGGGGGAGGGGGGGGAGGCACAGATCAAGGCCCCCCAAGATGAGGGAGGGAGTGGAGCAGGGGCTGGGGGCACTGCCCAGCCAGGGCAGTGAACAGGATCCAGGGTCAGGGCAGGAGTGGGACAAAGCCGCAGGCAACTCATCCAGGGGATCAGTGTCCTAGTGCTTAAAAATGGTGTTGCTGGTACTTGAATTAAAGCTCATGAAATTAGCTTTAGTTCAAGCGCCACTACTACCATTTTTTAAGTGCAGGGACTCTTAAACAGAGCCAAACCAAGTGGGGTGAGGGCAGATACGAGTTGCCTGCTGTGGGCTCAGGGCTCCCTGCTCTGCTGCCTTTGCCCCAGGATTCCTGCACTGGCCACACATCTCCTGCCCACCTGGCAGTAGGAGGCACAACTTGCCACCTCCACTGCTGCTGGGCAGGCAAGGGGTGTGCATCTAGCATATGGCTCCTGAGGGAACAGCAGCAGAGTGGAGAGCCCCGAGCCTGTAGAAAGCAACCCGCATGCACCCTGTGGACAAATCTGGGGGGCACATGTCCCAAATGCCTCTCCTGGGGGGGGTGCGTGCAGTGGTGGGAACCCCCCCCCCGACGAGTCACCCATGGCTCTGTCCTGCTCCCTGCCCTGGGTTCCATTCACCACTCTGGCTGTGAATGGGAGCAGTGAGGTAGCTCCTTCCCCACTCCCTCCCTTACTGTGGGGACCTTGATCTACCCCATCCCCCCACGCCCCTTCCTTCCTCCACACTCCTTCCCTTCAAAAGACTTACCTCCAGGGTGCTGCTCTCCACACTGGTTGGCTGCATTCTGGCCAGGTGCGTGCATGCTGCTGCGCACGTGCGCACAGCTTCCGGGGGCCCCAGCCAAAAGGCGTATTATATTTACCAGTGACATTATCGGCTACACCGGTCAAAAAAAGCTGATAGCAGATTATGTTCATTTTCTTTTTATCTGTGTTGATCTGATATGCAACTGATATATTGATGCATCTCTAGTTGCAGCTTCGTTTAAAATAAAACCTGGAAGGTTTTCACTTAAATATAAAATACTGTCCCATATAGAAGCCTAGGAGGTATGCAAAACTGAACTTGGTATCAACATTTCTCATTTTCTCTCTTTTTTATCCCTGTAATGTGCCAGTGTATGTTGAGAACACAAGAGCTAGGAGTTGTCCAGGTTGAAGCTCTGGACACTCAGGAAGACATGAAAGTAATTAAGAACCGGTGGAGAGAGTTGGTTGTGTTGATATCTGACCTGATGACCTTAAGTCTCAGGGCTACACATCGCTTTGCACTGCATGGGTCTGTTTAGACTTCTAAGTGCTCTAAGGACAGAAACAGACATCAGCTGACGTTCCATTTGTGCCACCATAAAAATATTTATGGTGGCACAAGTAGCAAGAAAATAGATGTACCTACCTCTTTGTTGTGCCACATCGGGCACAACGGGTGCTGTTAAACAGTGCTGCTTTATTGCAGCAGATGTCTATTTACTCTGTGGCAGAAGAGTGCAGGCAGTCCGGAGCTGCCTGCACCTCCAGCTGCTCTGGGGCAGGTGGCTCTGCAGGCTTGAGGGACACAATCCTCTACTATTTGTCCTGGGTTATGCAGGATTGGACCCCTTGAGCATCTGCCTGACTCTCCCTGCTCGGAGACCGGCCTGGGGAATTGTGGGGTGTGTCTAAGTGGGAAAAGTTAGAGTTCCCTGCTTATGGAGACACTCCCCAAGATCTCCAGGAGTATGTTTAAGTGAGGAATGCCTGTGCAGATCCCAGGGAATCCCTACCGCCACGTACCTCCACACCAGGACCATGGAACCCCCATGACTCCATGCTGGAACCCACACCAGGTCCCAGGTTGATCCACACTTCACGCGGAAGCACAGGTAGACACAGATCCAGCAGAGATGCAGGGTGGCACAGGACCCAGGGAATTCCTGGCACCCCTCAACTCCAAACCAGCACCAATGCTGATCCGTGCCCCCAGGCACGGGTCCAGGCATGGAGATACAGGGTTCTAGGAATTCCCAGGTCTGGCACCTCCTTGCCAGGACCTGCACTGAGCCATGCTTCATGTGGAAGCATGGGGTGCTGGGGATTCCCCAGGTCCCTCACTGCCCAATGCTGAGACCCACACCTCTGCACGAGGCACAGGTTGGCCTGGGACCCAGGTCCCAGCAAGGAAGTATGGGGCAAGGGAAACATTGCCTGCTGTCCTGCATCAGACCCCTCTCTGATGCAGGGTGTGATGTGTGCTTCATCCAATAAAGTGGATCAGCTGTGGCAGGACACATTCCCCCACAGCCTGGTCTATTTTGTTTGGCAATGGCTGTTTATATCTTAAGGTTAGCCACATATCATCAGAAGACAGAGCTGCATTGCTTTGGAACATTTTGAAGTCTGTATCTTAAATCCTAACTTAGATAATTGTCATTCCATGTTAGCTAATGTACTCAACTCTAGTCTTACAGTGCACCATGGTATGACCAAAGGCAAATTCTGCAGTGAATTTCAAGGTTTCATAAATTCATAGATGTTAGGGTCGGAAGGGACCTCAATATATCATCGAGTCCGACCCCCTGCATAAGCAGAAAAGAGTGCTGGGTCTAGATGACCCCAGCTAGATACTCATCTAACC